CATCTGTTGATTGCGCTTAAGCAACAGGAGGTATTAAAAGTAACTATACTGTTAGAAAACATACTTTTTGATTTATTATTTTGCTATAAGCTGTCATCACCCGTTTATAGAAATAAAGAGAAAAGGACATCACCTTTTATATTTACCCGTATTCTTTTTTTAATATATATATTTTTTAGATGTTGATAGACTTTTATTTTATTTATTTATATACGGTGCTGAGAATCGAACCCATTGCCCTACACATGCCAGGCAAGTGTGCTACCTCTGAGCCATAGCCCCAGCCCCATACCCATATTCTTAATACTTTCCAATTCTTCTAATTTTTTTCCCCATGATTTTGAGTTTCCATCAGTTGTCATTTCTTTTCATGCTGAAGAATTTTCCTTTAGCATTTCTGTTGTGCACAGACTGATAGAAACAAGTTTTTCTCAGGTTTTGTTCATCTCAACACTTCTTGCTTTGACTTTTTAAAAAAATTTATTTATTTTAGTTGTTGGTGGACATTTATTTTATATAGTGTGCTGAGAATCGAACCCAGTACCTCACACATGCTAGGCAAGTGCTCTTCCACTGAGCCACAGCTTCAGCCCCACTTTGACTTATTTTAAGGATACTCTTGTCAGTTATGAACTTTTAGGTTGATAGTTTTTTTTTTCTTTCAGTTTTTTGTGGGTGTTCCATTGTCTCCTAACTTCCATTGTTTCTGATGATAAATAGTTGATGTTTATGCCTCTACATGTAATGCATTGTTCTCTCCTGGCTCTTGCTAAAGATAAAGCAGACATGATTTAAAGAGAGTAAGATGGATTTTATTTGGTAACTACTACAGTGGGGGAAGAGTTGAGTCCAGTGCCGATTTACATAGAGTTGACTAGGCATTGTAGCGAAAAGGAGGGAGTGGGGAAGGGGCAGTGAGCTGTTGTTACTCAGGCACAGTTAGGGAAGTGAAAATTATAAAAGGCAGTAAGAGGGCTATTTAATGAGAATATGATTAGACTTATCTGTTACAAAGATTATTCATTTTGCTAATCAGACTTTTTTTTTTTCCTGATTAGGTAATTTCTAACTAACATTTATTGAATTTAAATTCATAGAGGAATTCCTGATCATCACATATCAGAAAAATGGCTTTCAGGTCCATGAGGAATAATTCTAGTGATTTGTTGGAAATAAAATCTCTCTCAAAGAGATGAGAAGGATTTACAGTATAAATATTCTTAAGGAGGGGAAACTGTTTGCCTGTCATCAAGTGTTAGGTGGAATAAGTGATACGTTTTCTTGACAGCCTTGATCCTTTACTGACAGGAACTCTAAGAGGGATTGGATTGCTCCAAGGACGTCTTAGGCTGCTAGAAACCATGCTAAAAATTGGTCAAATCTCTTAGTTGGAGGGTTTGAATAGAGTTATTTTTGCCAAGAATTTTTGCATTTCTCACTGCTTCAACAGTTTTGTATTTAGGAGTTTGATAAATGATGTACCTGACTATATAATTCTTCTTTGTAAACTCCTTGGTGTTCATTGAGCTTCTTGGGTGTATAAATTTAGTGTTTTTACTAACAGTGAAAATTTTTTTCTGGCTATTTTTTTCGTATTTTTTTTCTGACTTATTCTTTTTCTGAAGCTGTATTACTGAAATTCCGTTTTGCTTATCAGTCTTATTTTAGTTCTTTTTAGGTAATTTCTAATAATCTAACTTAAGATTTACTTATTTGTCTCCTAATCATCAGGTTGATTTTTTAATTTCCCATTTTATAATACCCAGTTTTAATATTTCTATTTGATTTATTTTTCTATTTTTATTATGCAAAGATTCACAATCTGATTTACATAGAGGTGACTAGGCATTAAAGGGAGAACAAGGGAGTTAGGGAGTCCCTGCACATATTTATTATAATTTCTGAAAAATTCTTGTTCATCTTGGGATCTGCTTCTGTCGACTTTTAAATTTTGATTAGGGGTAACATTCTTCTATTTCTTCATGTTTAGTTATTCTTGGTTGTTGTTGTTAGTTTTTCATTGTTGTGATCAAAATACCCAATAAGAACCACAAGCAGAGAAAAGATTTATTTTAGCTCAAGATTTTAGTCTGTGGTCAGCCTGCTCCAGCATTGTGGGCCAGAAGTGAGGTGTAACATCAAGGCAGAAGGGCACAGTAGAGGCAGATAGGGAGAGAAGGATTGGGGCAAGGTGAGAAACTCTCCCAGGGCATGCCCCAGTGACCTCCTCCTTCCAAGTAGGCCCCCCCCCCCAATAGTCCATTCAGCCATTAATGGATTAATTCATTGATGAGGTCAGAGTTCTCATGATCTAATTACTTTTCCACCTCTGAACTCATGAGACTGGGGGATATTCTAGATCCAAACTCTGACAATCAATACTGGATATTTGAGTGAAACATTGTTGACTCTGAATTCTGTTCTCTCTTGTTCTCACAAGTTGTTTGAAATGATCTCAAAATCCAAATGGTTTTCCTCTGATGTAGGCCACAGCTAAAATTTCCATTCTTTCAGCCTTCCAAGTGCTGGCTTCAGCACAGCCCCATAAACTATCTGTATGTATAGTGTAGGGCAATTCACAGTTTGATGTTTTTCTCCCTGTGCGTTCTTAACAGAAAAACTCCAGGTTTTTCTGATGTTCTAGCTGCCCTGTCTTAACTCCAGCTGGAAAGTTCCCTTGGGTACAAAGCCACAGGAGCACAGTTCTCATTTATCGAAGTTTTTGTATTCCATAAGTTGATGTCTTATCTCTCCAGATTTTGTCTGTTTCTTGTCTTTCTCCAAAAAAGAGAAATAGTTTTCAAATAGTTGATTATTTGGTTTGGAGTTTATTATTGTTATCTGAAGAAAAGTTAGCCTAATTGAGGCTACTCTACCATTATTGGAAGGAAAACCTCTATTGTTTTATTTGTATATACTTTTGCTGATTGATACTTCTTTCATTATTGAGAATTTTTAGAATCTGGGAGGGCCATTCTCTCTTTTTTCTGAGAGTGTTCCTGGTTAGTTTTGTTTATTTTGGTGTGTTATATTTGGAATGATATTGTCTGGATCTTGAATTGTTATTTTCATTGAGTTTGCATCAAATATATAAATTTGTTAGACTTGATAACCCTATACTACTATCTAATCTAGGGATGTGTGTATTTTTGTCTTTTCTCAGTGTACTTTTGTGTTTAAAATGTTCCTTTACATAATTTTGACAGTTTCATAATTTATTTTATATGCTTTATAAATGTTTTGTTATAAGTTGGATTCTTTTTGAAAATACTTTACCTGATACAAATAAACAGATTTTTACCAACTAGCTAAATGCAAATTTAATATTCTTAGAAATGTCTTCCAATTTTATGAAGGAAGTAATGTAATACATGTTAAAACATTTAAATATACCCTCTGATGGCAGACTGAACGTGGCTGAGTTAGACCTGGGGTCTGAGTCTGTCAGCTTTTAGATTGAGTGCATGTTCTTAACGACTATTATTTTTTGATTTTTTTCAAGGCTTAAATAAAGCACAACTTAAGTTCTTCGTGCTCTCTTTTAAGATTCTTGTTCTCATGTCAATTCCGGAGTAACTTGAGTGAAATATTCTTTTTAGCTCCATAATAACAGAATAGCCTCTGATCTACACTGTTAATCATTTTCCTTGAATTATTTTCAGCTGTATACTACTATTCCTTCCTTAAACTCAGTCAAATTATTAGAATTTACGTGATTTGGTTGTGACTTAAACTGCACTGGGCTGTATATTTTTAGTATATATTTGATAAATAGCTTTTAAATAAAGAAACCATTTATGTCATGGTTTTAAAATTAGTATATCTTTAGGTGGAAAGGAAATGTCTTTTTTAAGTCTGGTAAATTTTGTATCCTTAAAAAAAAAGAGAGAGAGAGAATCAAAAATGTCTCAAGGCAGTGCAGAAAAGTTTCTGAACATCCCTTAATAAACTGTTGAGTAGTATAGGGGCTACATTATAGGAAGGGAGGGCATGACAGCTCGTGTGTGTTGGCACAGAATATCAGCACATCTCACTGTTGATGTACTTTGAAATGTTGATCCAGTTAGCTTACTAGCAGTGTATAAATTTGGGATTTAATCAGTTGTTTGATTTACTTTTAAGTGCTCTGAAATATACCTTCTGCTTCCTTGAAATTTTGAAGACTTTGTAGTATTTGAGAAATGGAACTAAATTTTAGAAATTTACCTTGTGATTAATTTAAAAAGTACAAATTAGAACCTGAGAGACACAGCAGTCAAATGTTTCATGGCAAAACTTCCTTTTAAACTTCCCTTCTCCCACAGCTCAGTGGTGGCAGGGAAAATATTAAGAATTATCTCTGGGCTGCTTGTGTTATTTCTTTCTTTAGAAAGAAATGTCGAAAAAAATTTTAAAGTTGTATGCTGTGTTAGAATAACTTCAAAATCTACCTTATCCGTTTTAAATAGTGATAGAGCAGTAATAATGTTCAGTTATACTGTTTATAATTATTGCAATCAAATAACCTGAAAAATCTTAACTGTGGCTAATATCTTTTAATTGGAGTTATTTTCTATTTTAAAAATACCAATGTTTTGCCAATATCAGTAAATTAAAAAATAATTAACATCTATTTTTTGGTAAACTTTTTTCCAAAAGGTCTGATAAAATGAAGCACTGTTAGTAAGGCCAATGCATAGGTATTAGATCTTTTATTTTGAGTAAAGGAAATTGGAAAGGATGTGTTATAGGTGTGATGTCATTAAACTAGAGAGCATTGGTGTTCACATTTTAAAAACATAATCATAACTTATCTGGAGTCACATGTTCCATTTTATTGGCTTCCTTCATATAGAAAATATAGTAATGAACACTACTACATGTCTGTGAAAAAGTGAAGCAATGTATATTTTCTGGGTGAAGGAAGTATTCTGTACATTCTCCATGTTTTACATCATGGTATTTTGAATAACCATGCTTCCATGTTCACATCAATTTTTTGTTTTTCAATTTATGCACAGCACTTGCTCTGAAATTTGGGGACTGAGTACACCAAATACGATAGATCAGTGGGATACAACAGGCCTTTACAGCTTCTCTGAACAAACCAGGTGAATATTCTGCCCTCTATGGAATCTTAGACATCTTGTGGGAGGGGGGGTGTTTTGGAAGACCTGTTTGGGTTGCTTAGTATAATTTTGCTTAGGATGTTTCCTTCATGTAAAATAAGGCATAGCATTTAAAATATTATCTGCTTGCCAGTATTAAAAAGATATTAAATGTTTCAGCTAATGTTTTGATCGATGCAATTCTGGTTTTGAATCTTCTTTAAATTATTGTATCCCCTAAAGAATAAGAATTTTGATAGCCCTATACTCATTTTAGTTCAAGATTAAATTGATCTGTTGTTGGCCTAATTTTTAAGCATATACATGATCAGTTTTTGCTAAATTTCTTGTTACCATCTAAATCTCATCTTTATACTAATACATAGTTATTTAATGAACCCCTTACATCACAATTAACAGTAGGCTAACTTGTTTTTATGTTATCTTTTTAAAATCGCCTCATTCTCTTTTTTTAAGTATATTGATATTTTCCATTTCATCTCATATTCATCACCATCTGCATTTATGTGTGAGCTATATAAATATGCCTCAGTTATTAAAGCAGTCACAACTGAATAATGAGTTATATTAGTCTGAGTAAGTTGCTGTCACATCATTGTTGGTATTATCATTCTTTTTTGTGACTATTCAGTTACATACAGAATTAATGCCCTTGAAGCATCATTAAATAGAGTTTGACTTATTAAAGGTAGATGTTGATGAAAAGATTTTCAAGTATAACTACATGATATTCTTTTAAAAGATCAGTATCCCCCAAATTGTTAGCCTTTCTTTGGCATTTGAGTCATTGGCGTGGCATATTGTTAGGAAACATCTGCTAGTGCTGCTGCTTACTTTGTCAGATCCATCACAGAGTACACTTTTCTTCCTGGTTCTCACTAAAACTAACTAAGTGGCTGTCGTTCCTTTCTTTATGCTCTTAGTGTATTAATTAGCGCATTTGCCTACACCTATGTTTTGTTTTTGTTAATTTGTTTTTTAAAGTTTCCTCCTTCTTTTCCCCCTTGCTTCCCAACAGATCTCTTGATGGTCGCCTTCAAGTTTCTCATCGAAAAGGGTTACCACATGTTATCTATTGCCGGTTATGGCGCTGGCCTGATCTTCACAGTCATCATGAACTCAAGGCAATTGAAAACTGCGAATATGCGTTTAATTTAAAAAAGGATGAAGTATGTGTAAATCCTTACCACTATCAGAGAGTCGAGACACCAGGTAGGAAAATTACAGGGTTTTCCTGGCTTTGAATTAAGTGCCTAAACTTAAGTTTATTTAGGTATTCTTGTGACCCAGGGACATTTTAGGGTAAAAAGTCTAATAATTTATCCTAAATTCAGCATGTTATATATCAGTAGTTAAATTTTTTTTCCCCCAGTTTTTATAGAAAAACATGTTAGGTCTGCCAGTTTCTTGGACTGTTATACTCTTTGACATCAAAGTACCTATTCAGGAAATCCCACAGATTTGCCGTTAGAACTGACTTACCTCTGCATTCTGTGCTTCAAGCATTTTACTCTACTTTTGGAAGTACTTTAATGGCAATATTTTTATAAAAGTTGTTGAATGAAGTTTGTAGTAAGACTTTTTATTTCATTGGCTATGTGCTTGAAACTTACTTTAAAAAAAAGTTGTTTTTTTTTTTTTTTTTTTTAAAGGAAATTTCTTAAATCTGACTTTATATATCCAAGCAGATCTTTCCTCACCTTTTTCAGTGGAGGTTTGTGAACTTTTTCTGCTGATTTATATTTTGCCCCAAAGTATGAAATAAATGTAAACTTAGAAATTTAAATAGTGGCCTAAATGATAAGTTAAAGCCACACTTAGATTTATCAATTTCTTAGTCACTAATACTAAGTAGGTAGATCCTAACTTTTAAAAATAAGACTGCCTCCTTATCCTTCCTTGTGAAACCTTTTAATAAAGCCATCCATCTCCATGCTTTTGCTTCTTGCCATTAACTTAGATTTCTTTAACTTTTGCAGTTTTGCCTCCGGTGTTAGTGCCACGACACACTGAAATTCTAACAGAATTACCACCTCTGGATGATTATACCCACTCCATTCCAGAAAACACTAACTTCCCAGCGGGAATTGAGCCACAGAGTAATTATATTCCAGGTATTTTTACCTTCCGAATCTCTTTAAACTTAGAAAGATAAACATTTTGTCATAAGCATTCAGGTATTAATAAATTGTGGTTTCACTTTAAAAATTGTCTAGGGTTTGGGATATTAAAGTTTGATTTGACAGTGATTGTTTTGCAGAATGTATAAGCTTAGTTTTGTTTGGAGAAAAGTTTTACTTTATATTTAATTTTCTTTTGAGGGGACTTTAATCAAAGCAAAGATCTTAGTAAGTTTTTCTTAGTTGTTGAAGCTGAGAGAAATGCAGATTGTAAACAAAATAAGTGGTATAAGAAAAGAGTACTCCTGAACAAATATAACTAAAAAAATTTACCAAATAATCACTTTTTCTTAAATAATTTGATAATTTTTTATGTAAATGTAACTTCCAACCTCCTATTTGGGTTATTTTTCATGGACCTCAGTAGTGATGAAATGAAAAAATTTACATAGTTCTCAAATTCTATTCTAACTCTGGTTAAATTTCTTGTGTGATCTCTTAATATTTCACAGTACAGTACTTGCCCTTTTAGTTTTTACTGTTTTTTTTAATTTGTTTTTAAGGAGAAAACTACTACCTTATTTCTTTTCTCGTGTTTCCCTTTGTTTTTTCCCTAGCAGAAACTGAAGATATTAGAATAAGAATTATACTACATACTGGAATTTTAGTCTCTTCAGTTTTTCCTTCTTTTAAAAATATTCCTCTATTCCATCCTTTATTTTCATTTTATACAACTGAAAATATATAATAAACTTAACCCAAATATAGTAAAAATGTTTCTTTAACATATTTTATCATAGGAACAGTCCTTGTTCGTTGAAGACTTCTAAAAATCAAAAAAAAACCCAAAACTTTTGTTAAAGAAATTTTTTAAAAGGTAGTTTTACACATGGGACGTAGTTTGTTTTAATGTACATTTCTTTACATTCCAAAAGAGGATTTAACACTGCTTTTTTTATTGCGGGCAAGTCTGCTTTCTGAGAAATTGGGAGGTAAGAGCAAAGGGTGGGGCACAGTACGATAGAGTAGGGTAGGAAGGGAATAGCAGAACTATAAAGCAGGACTTCTCCTAGGTAGAAAAATTCAGTCTTTCATAAATTTGGCATGTGCAAGTGATAGGAGGAAGGGAGGCATTTTAAGTCTTTGATTTGGCAATTAAGTTGAAAGCATACAGTTTTATAAGATACGTACCGAGTAATTATTTCCAAGGATGTTAATCAAAACATAAAGTGGCCTTTACATGTGAAGATGTTTGACCTTATCTATTTTTTATTTTTGTTCTTCTTTATTACTTTAATTCTTCAGGTGTTAATAGAAAATCAGAAGTGATTTATACCTATTCACTTTTCCAGACAGTGATACTTTGTCTGGCTCGAAGTGATAGCAAAGCTAAAGAATTACTGTTTATCTCATTTTTAAAGAAATTTTGACATTTTCTCTTAAATGCTTCTAGCTTTAATATCAGTTATTAGATAAATAATAAAGGAAAAAGGTAAAGAAATACAGGAAGATGAAGTATCTTTTTTAATTTCTTTTTAACCATACGGTTTATTTTTATTTTTTTGTCATATATGACAGCAGAATATATTTTGACATATAATATATACATGGAATGTACATTCATCAATCATATTGTCTGTTCTATTCTGCTGCCCTTCCTATCCCTTCTACTCCTCCCCTCCTCTCCCATCCTTTCTCTCTATCCAATCTAATGTGACACACTTTTTTTTTCTTTTTCTTATCACAACATCATTTATGTATTCTGTATAACAGTGAGGTTCTCCTTCCATCTTCTGTGCAACTCCGCTTCTCCCTCTTTTTCCCTCCCACCTCTCTTCCCTATTTAGTAGTAGTCTTCTTCTCATGCTCTTCCTCCCTATCCCATTTTGAGTCACCCCCCTAAGATGAAGTATCTTAAGGTTCAGTTTTACTTCCTACTTAGATCTTTGAGACACTGGTGGTTAAACTGGCAAAGATTTGATTAGTTTTAACCTTTAAATAGTGCATAATCTTAATGCAGTATTCTTATTTTCATGTTCTTTATTGAGTATATGAAGATATTCTTAAAATTTCAATATTAAAGATTTTGGGATGCTTATTCTTAAATGAAAAATTTACTATTTCTGTTAAACTTATATGGTTGCTTATTGAGCCACATTATTAAGGGTTAGTGAAGTGAAGACCCTTAACCATATCTTACTTCTCCTCCTTTGGATAATCACAAAATCCTTTTTAGGTATGTGTTTGCATTTTCTCCATTTGATTCACTGTTCACCAACACAAAGGTTAAACTTTTGAAAATCTTATGAATTTGTTTTTCCTATTTAACATTATAAAGTAAAAGTCGTGTAAATGTTTTTATTTTCTTTGAAGCTTATTCAGCTATTCAGATACTGAATAAATGTTATGTTATGCTGAGTAAATGTTATCCTGAACATAAACATATTGTTCAGAAAACATGTTGGATACGACACAGTAGAATCCTAATATTTATTTTCAGGAAGCATTTTGCCTCTGTTTTATGCAGTGACCTATAAGTATCCATCAATGATGTGTATTAGTGTAAAAACAAAAAATTGCAGGTACTAATGTCTTTGATCCCTACTGAGTTAGAATCGAGGCATCTGCTTCTTGCCCCAGATTATGTACATATGAAAGCGAGGCCAGACAATAATGTCAAAGCAAATATGCCAAGAGAGCTAGATTGTATTAAAACTAGGTTTTAAGGATTCATCTGCAAGATTTGGATCAAAACCTGAATCATAAGTCCTTAGTATCCAATGTTGGTTTTTGTAATAATGTTATATACATTTATTATTTGTTCTTTGGAGTGATTCTTTGGTTAAATTTGGTAGATGGTAGAAAGTGGTGAAATTAAATTGCAACTATACTTGATTTGTTCTAAATTTTGTAGAAACACCACCTCCTGGATATATCAGTGAAGATGGAGAAACAAGTGATCAACAATTGAACCAAAGTATGGACACAGGTAAAAAATGTCTTTCAAAATTGCAAAATTATCAGATATGCAGTTAGTGCTCTGAATCCACAGGTTTCACATCCCTGAATTAAGCCAACCACGGATTAAAAATATGGATGGGCAAGGGGTCAGTTATATCTGTACTGAATATATACAGACTTGACTTTACTTTGCCATTATTCCCTAAACAGTACAGTGTAAAAACTACCTATATAGCATTTACCATGTCATTGTGTATAAGGGACTTTAAAATCTGCACTTTTTTTGGTGTCTACAGGGGTTCCTAAAACCTGTTTCCTAAAGATACGGAGGGATAACTATACATTTCTTGCATTGTTTGAAACTCAAAAGACGACAGACACATCCCTCTCAAATTTAGAGAAGTTGAGAAATATGTCAAAAAATGGGAATCTTCTATATTGATTTAACTGTATCTGAAACATCAAAGATGTCCATGTTCTTACTAAAAATTTAACAAACTATTTGCACAAATTCTCTTGGTAGGATGAAAATTTGAGAATATTCTTTTTAAGAATTCTATGCTTCTGTTTTGATTAGTATAAAATTTTCAGAGGGATTTGGGGTGTAAGGGATAAGGATCAGCTTTTCAGGGCTCTTTTTTAACTTAATAGTTCTGAAGTACAGTCCATTATTTACACAGAATACCTTCTAGCTAACCTAATTTGATAAATTTCTGGTATTTAGCTATCATGCCCAAACAAGGATAAACAAAAATTTTTAACATATAATAAATATTATACACATCAAAGTTTTAAACCAGTTGTTACATAATTACTTATATGATCTAGTACATTACCAGTGAAATTGCTATCATTTTTATGACTGTTAGGATAGTAGAAAGAAATAATCTCATTATCACTGGAAATAACACATTACACATCTTAATGTTATGATACTTGGCTTTCTAAATGTTGTAACATGTCTGGATGCCAGTGACTTCTATTTTTCAATCAGCAGTATTCTTTTTTGCCCCTGATAAGAACACTTAACAAGTGTTGGTGAGGATATAGAAAAACTAGAATCTTCATAAACTGCTAGAAATAAAAAGTGGTTCAACCACTTGGGAATATTTTGCTATTCTAAAAGATAAAATCAGTTACTGTATAGCCCAGCAATTTCACTCCTAGGTCTATATCCAAGAAAATTTAAACAAACTTGTACATAAATATTCGTATAAGCATTGTTTATAACATTCCAGAAGTATAAATAACCCACATATCCATCAGATGATGAATGGGTAAATAAATGAGGTGTGTCTCTCTACAATAGACTATTATTCAACTATAAGAATGCTAGTACAGCATGAAGTGCTACAACATGTATGTATGTACCCTGAAAGCATCGTGTTTATGAAAAAGGCCACAGGTACTCTGTTGGTGCATAAATATGTTTGACAGTACAACTGAAACACAGAAGGAACAATTAGATGAATATAATAACTGCCTGTGGTGAATGAGTCAAAATTTTAAAATGAACCAGGCATGGTGCATGCCTATCATCCCAGCTGCTTGAGAGGCTGAGGCAGGAGTATCCTAGGTTCAAAGCTAGCCTCACCAATGAGGCTCAGTTTTCAAATAAAATATTTTAAAAAGGGCTGGGGATGTGGCTTGGTGGTTAAGTACCCCAGGGTTCAATCTCTGGTACCCAAAAAAACAAATAAATAAATTAAAATGGAGAGTAACTCACTCATCTCAAGTGAATTCAATGTTGGAGCTAGCTCTGAACCTCACTTAATAGTTCTAATCTGTTTCATTGGGGCACTGTTATTGACTTAACGAATGACACATTTAAAATTACTTCCTATAATAATGACGATGTGAATATCTCATTCATGAGATTCACAAAGATCATTTCACTTAAGTCTTTTGGCCACCATCAATTTCTGTCAGTGCCACAGCACTGTTCCAGCAGGGTGTAGTGCATGCCTGTAGTCCCAGCTACTAGAGAGACTGAGCACAGGAGGTGAAGGCCAGCCTGGCAACATAATGAGATCCCACTGGGGAAAAAGAAAGAAAGAAAAAAAGAAATAGACAAGTCTCAATTTATTTATTTTATTTTTTAATAGTTTGACTGTTTTTATTTTTATTATTTTATTTCATCTTTAAACATTTAAAAATTATTGTTTCCATTAGCTCATCTCAACTCTTCAGAAAGGTGGTTTTCATTGTGACATATTCCCGCATATATAAAAATACAACTTGATCAGTTTTGCCCCCACTCTTCCCTCCTTCCTCCCCATGACTCCCTTCCTCTATAATACAGTCACCTTTCTACTTTTATGATGTCTTTTCTCCCTTTATCTTCCATATATGAGAGAAAACATAACAATCTTTTTCTTTTTTACTTATATATGACAGTGGAATGCATTATAATTCTTATTACACATATAGAGCACAATTTTTCATATCTCTGGTTGTATACCAAGTGTATTCACACCAATTCGTGTCTTCATACATGTACTTTGGATAATGATGACCATCACATTCCACCATCATTTCTAACGCTATGCCCCCTCCCTTCCTGAGTTCATCTACTCCTCCCATGCTCCCTCTCCCTATCCCACTATGAATTAGCCTTCTTATATCAGAGAAAACATTCAGCATTTGATTTTTTGGGATTGGCTAACTTCACTTAGCATTCTTCTCTAACTCCATCCATTTACCTGCAAATGACAAGTCTCAATTTAGATAAAATTTGACCCCACCTCAACTCTGGTTCATACCTTTCATAGAAGGACATAATTAAATTCATTTTCATACCCTTCTGGGATAGAATAAATTAATATTTTTAAAAGGGCAAACAGAAAACAAGAATAAGGAGCTATAGGGCTGGGGATGTAGCTCAGTTGGTAGAGTGCTTGTCTCGCATGCACAAGGCCCTGAGTTCAATTCCCAGCACTAATAATAATAATAATCAGGAGCTATATGAATAACTTTTTTGCATGGTTCCCCCCCCCCCCCCCCAGTCTTTAAAAAAATTTCTCTGGTCAAGCCTTTATTCCTCCATTAGTGTCTGTGGATTTTAAAGATTACATCAGATATCACAAGAAATCTCAAAGTTTGATTACATTTTGTTGTATTCTGAAATAAGTCTCTTTCCAAGTCAAAATGAATTTTTAAAACTTTATTTGTTCAGGGCTGGGGCTGTAACTCAGTGATAGAGTGCCCGCCTCACACATGTGAGGCACTGGGTTCGATCCTCAGCACCACCTTAAAAAAATAAATAAATAAGGATATTGTATCCTAAGGAATATTTGACCAGGTTTTTTTTTTTTTAAAGAGAGAGTGAGAGACAGAGAGAGATAGTGAGAGAGAATTTTTTTTTTATATTTATTTTTTAGTTTTCGGCGGGCACAACATCTTTGTTTGTATGTGGTGCTGAGGATCGAACCCGGGCCGCACGCATGCCAGGCGAGCGCGCTACCACTTGAGCCACATCCCCAGCCCCCATATTTGCTTTTAAAGTGCTTTTTTAAGCTTGATTTCAGTAGTCTGCAAGTCCTATGCATGGATGTGATTTCCTTTGCATCTCTCTGCTTTGGCTTCATGAAATTTCTTAGACAGGTGAGATGATGGTCTTCAATTTTAGACAATTCTCTCCCATTTTGCCTTTTAATTGTTCTGTACCTCATCCTTTTCTCACTCCTTTTGTAAGTAAATTTACATGTGTATTCAACCATTTGATATTGTCCCATAGTTTGAAAGCTTGATGGACCATGAAGCAGAAAAAGATCATTAGAGATTCCAGAGTCAGATCCTAAGTCCTGCTGAGAGGGAAATTCTGATCCAGAGATAAAATCCTCTCTCTGCCCTACAGTCTGGTTGGCAGTCTGTGGGGTTTGGGGAGTTCTCCCCTTCCTTGGAGGTCTGTCCCTCAGGAGATCTTTTCAGCTCTGATACCCTTTCCAGGCTGAGAGTGCAGAAAGGCTGTAGCAGGGCATCCAGTAAAGGCCTCAGTGTAACAGGAAGATGTTCCTACTTCTTCTTCTTCTTTTTTTAAATTTTATTTTAATTTGTCCACAGTTTTCAAGTTCTGTTTGCTTATATCCCAAGGTATAAAGACTGAAAAGGCTTCAGTGAGAGGTTGAAAACTTCAGAGAGTTAAGCCTGAATTTTTTTGCCATGTTCTTTTTTTTTTTTTTTAAAGAGAGAGAGATAATTTTTTTAAAAAAATATTTGTTTAGTTTTCAGCGGACACAACCTCTTTGTTTGTATGTGGTGATTGAACCCGGGCCGCAAGCATGCCAGGCAAGCGTGCTACCGCTTGAGCCACATCCCCAGCCCCTTGTCGTGTTCTTAATCCTCTGCCATCCTGAATATCTCTGCCTTGGTCAGGTGGTCTATCTCTCAACCCTCTTGTTCTGCCTAAGGTCTTCTGCAAAAAAGCATGGTGACAACCTATTGGGGAAGAGTTGAAAGTCAGTGTAGACAATCTTTGAAGCTGATGTTGTTTACAATTTTCAAATGTTATGCTTGTCCTTTCAGGATTATTCATACCTCTTGCCATTATCAATGGCAGTTTTCTCTTCGTCCCTATTCCATGCACCATGAAGATAATAGATTCTTTTAGGTGATTCCCAAAAGTTAGAGCATACCTTTGTGGATTTGATTTCATTTACATTTCTTTTCTCTCAGTTCCTTAATTGCAAGTTTTTATGCTATCTTACTTGTTTTCACTATTAGTTGGGGAATGACACTTTTAGCAAATTTCTGTATCTTAAGGTCTAATTAAAGTCTAGCTTATTGTTGAAAAACTAAATATACCTTGTCTTTGTTTTCTCTTTTCTTTGTATCAATTTATAAGATGGTGAAATTATTCTCACAATGAGTTGATTGTATATTTCTACTGTCCTAGTATTTCTTTTTATATTTTAAAACCATGTTGAAAAATGTACTACTGCCTGATATATGCTGAGATATGGAAAAATAGTTACATTATTCACTTAATCAGTTATGAATAAATCTTTCTGAATCACTTAAAAAAAAAAA